ATGAAAACCAGTGAGCGGAGCAGTATAGTCGGACGGGGCCGACCATACGATACCCTACACAACTTCCATGAATATCCAACTTTCTGTGGTTCTATATTCTGAGATTGGGCAATATTTCGCGATATTTACACACTTTTTAATGACTAGAGGCCAGCAAATGTTACTAATAATCAGTACAACACCTTTAATTACTTGTACAGATCGTTTCCACGACAGAGGGGTCTACGATCCGAAACGACCCGAGTCTTACTCGGCCAACGTCTGTCACCTCAGCCCATTGTGTAAAAGCAATAGGGCTGCTACAACAACAACAACTTGTACAGATTCCCTTCACCGTGGGTTGTGTTGTGATGTTCGGCTTTCGACTCGAAAAGTACAAATAATTAAGTTTTCGGTCCACTTCATCCGAAAAATATTATCTGATCATCACCTAACATATTAGGCGTTGTCCTTGACCATAACTGGAACCTCATGGAACATTTCAAAGCGATCATCGCTATATTTCCGCCCTCCAGTGTGATAATAGGTTACTAAATAATATATGAATACATAAGCACCTGTAAATATTTAAGTGTAACTCCCGCATCCGAGTACCTACGACAATATAATTGGTATCAATTTAATGGTCAACCACTCCTCTTGGATATACTATCAACTTCTCGGGTCTATGTCCTTCAGTGGTAAATATATACGCTATAGAATACAAATTTTGTCATTTTTCACACAAAAGTTAGTGTCCATTTGACCCGCTAAATATTGACCGATCATTATCAAAACAGGCATGCTTATTCTTTGGCCTGATCCCCTTCTCCATGCAAAAATTCGCGGCGTTTGGGTCGTAATTTCTGCCTCTGGAGCGACCAGAAAAACCGACAAAAATAAAGTTTTTGGTCCATTTCATCCCCTAAATATTAACCGATCTTTTCCAAAAACAATAGGGGTCTTCATTGGCCAGAACCCATCCTACATGCAAAATTTCGTGAAGTTTGGTCCATAACTGTGGCCTGTATCGTGTTTACAAATTATAATGGACAGACGGACGGACGACACACATGTCTAGATCGACTCAGCTAGTCGAGATATGACGATCGGTATACTTAAAGGTGGGTCTAGGACCAATATTTCGCGGCGTTACAAACTTCTGGGGCTGCACAAAGCTATAATACCCTGACAACATAGTTGTGTTGGGTATAATAATTGTTACACAAAAATAGTTAATTGCAATTCTTTTGTTTTCATAACATTAATTTAATAGTCTTTCCCATCAACAAATTTTTTCACATGTAAATGCATTTACTGATTGTGTTTCAACGGCAACGGAAATTCGTTCGCATGACCAAGTACCAAATACCCAATACCAAAGTAATCAGTACGTTTAACAAAACAATAATATTTATATTTTTATTAAAACGTGTGAAAAAGTTAATAAACACTAAATAATTATGCAGATTTTCGTAAAGACAATAGATGGAAGGACAATAACATTGGATGTGGAACCGACGGACACCATTGCCACAGTGAAGCAGAAAATCTATGAGAAGGAATTACAACGTCAGCAAAACGACACAGAAGAGATGCCAAAACCACACAAACAACAACAAAATAAATCAAATACAAAATCTAAAACCAGAAGGAAAATGAGTTATGGTGATAGTTTTGACTTTTGTTTGGAATCATCAGGACGTATTTTCCAAAGCAACTGACCTATTGTTGTGGCAGACCAAGTGCCTTAGGACATATGGAGGCGAACTTTGTCCAAATCGTTTAGAAAATGTTGACCTTATATTACTCATTTTCACATTTGTAACGAAAAATCATTGATTTATGTACCTTAACAAAATAAAATTTAGAATAAGATTTGTGATATGAAAATAATCATAGAATTTAAAAGGAATGTTATAATTATTTCATAGACAATACATTGAATTTGCTGTTCAGATGAGTTTAAGGGAAACTTTTGTTAGAAATATGCATGTAATGGGGAGATAAGATCCAACTGCATGTATTTTCTTGCTTGTTTTCCCGATGAATGTTAATAGAACTGGTGAAAATATAGTTAACGTAAAAATATGGTTTCCCTTGATTATTTCAGTTTCAAAATGCGGAATTATTCCCAAATCGAATAAAAGTTATTACAAAATACAATATTTGAGTTCCTAAGTTATAGCTTAGAATCAGAATTTGTAAGAACTCCCTAAAAGACAATTTTGTGTGGAGTCAGTCATGTCCATTATTCTTAAAAACTGAATCTGAGTATTGTTTTCAAATACTTTTCCATTAATAATTTCTCTGTAAATTCTTTTGTGAGAGTACTAAATATAGATTGGAGACCCACGTTGAAATATTGGAAATAAATAACCTTTATATGAGGAGATATATATTACAATGTACTTTTATTTAAAAATGTCTATCTATTGGTATTTTGTCCTCTAAAAATATGAAATGGATAACTATATTAAATATTGTACATTGGTAAAATTACAATTACGCGAAGTATGTTTGATACAAATCGGTTAAGATATAGACATTTTCAGCCGATCTCAAGTGCTAAAGAGTTCACAATTGTCCGATCAACTTAAAATTTTGGTTCAAATTTCGATGTAGATCCCATATATAATTTCGATCGACCCAGAAGACCAAGAAGAGAAAATCGGTTCTACAGAAAATTGAAAATCATAACATTTCAAAATAATTTGTACGTCGCTAATGGAATAAAAAACCATTAAGGAAAGCAATAAAATCGGACGGGCGGAGTATATGATATCATTCACCACTTTGGGTATATTCAACAGATGAATCCTAACAGACGTCGCATTTTCGAAGGACCATTAACATGAAATTTGATCCATAAACATGTCATTCTGCAACCTATACTAAATTTTTCATTTGGTCAGATATAGAGTTACTTTTGTAGTAAACGGCCTTACTTTGGGTCTTTGGTGCACAATTTACATAAAATCGGACGAAAATATGTATGGGAGTTATATCTAAATCTGAACCGATTTTGACAAAACCTAGCTTCGTGTACATCGAAAGATGTATAGGGACTTTGGTGCACTTACATTAAATCGGAAGAAATATATATGGGAGCTATATCTGAACCGTTTTTCACGAAACTTAACACACATCATTCTAGACTTTATTCATTACACTATGCCAAATATCGTACAAATCGAAAAATATATAGGGAATTTGGTAAACCATTTACATTAAATCGGAATTGTACACCATTTACATTAAATGTAGATATATATGGACTTTGGTGTATCATTTACATTAAATCGAACAAAAATATATATTGAACATTTATATATAAACCTGAACCCAAGATATTATCCAGTACATTAAATGTGCCAATATTTGAGAGCTATATAAATCTGAAAGATATATAGGGACTTTGATTCACCATTTACATTAAATCGGACGAAAATTCAATTTTGCTATGGCAATTTTCGTGCAAATCGAAAGATATATAGGGCCTTTAGTACACCATTTAAATTAAATCAGACGAAAATATACATGGGAGCTATACCTAATTCTGAACCGATTTTTCCAGGCGGATGGACGGACATGTATAAATCGACTTAGAAAGTGATTCTATGCATTTTCTCAAAAGGAACCATGTGTCTATCTCGTTTCCTTTTGCCTGTTACAAACATATGCACAAAGACATATTACCCTGTACCACAGTGTGGTAAAGGGTATAAAAATTATATGATATTTCGGGGATGAAGTGGACCGAAAACTTTATTTTTGTCTAATCGCTTTAGGCGCCATAATTATCAGTCGACTATCACAAATTTCACTTGGGCAAAGCGATCTGACCAGCTAATTCGGCAGGGTATCGCCGACCATATGCCCCGTCCCACTATACTGGACCGCTCACTGGTTTGTTATATAGAAGTTTCTAGCCGAATTTTCAAAAGTAAGATATTTACATTTAATATTCCGTAAATCGGTTGTTTTATACTCTGAAAGAAAAAACTAATCAGTTTGGGAAAGTTAGCTAGTAACTTCAATAAAACCGGTATATATGCTTTTTCACGAGACAATTTGATAAAAAAATGCGGCTGAAACAATCAAAATATTCAAAAGGAAACTGTACATTAAATGGGAAATATGCCAGAGCATGGTCCAATATCGAACAATGTCTGCAATTTTGTTTTTACCCATCACTTCGGTGTGAAAATGCGGCTGAGACCTTTAAAATATCGAAAATGACGTGGGACGGTTACATGAAAGGTGGAAAAAATTTGTCTATAACCTTCCAAGATACTTAAAACAAAATTACAGAAACTTTGTTTGGAAAATGCAGCTAAAACTTTCAAAATACCGAAAATGATAGGATGCCGCTATAAGGGTTGCAATATCAACAATATATCCTAATACCGAAAACCCAAAAAAATATTTCAAAGCTCTATCATGATTCCAACAGACAGACGGATATGACTTAATCGAAATATAATTCTATTCCTAGTGGGGTCTCCGTAAATATTCCGATGAATATACATTCCAACAGGGTATAATAAAGTCTACTCTTGTAAAAAAAAATTCTTATAGACCTCTTAATAACATTACTGTACGATTTGATATATTTCCCCATGTCGTCTCAAAAATGTTTTTTTGTTTGTCACATATTCTTCTAAAGGTGTGAAAAACATTACAGAACATTTTAAAGTATTGCTTTAGTCACAGATTTGCACTAATTTCAAACAGTCATACATGGCAAAGAGATTGAGAAATACATTACAACAGAATTTAGCATTAACTGGATACTACAAATTTCACAATCCGATATTAGCTTCTAAACTCAAGCTAGCATATAAAAGCACTCTGTTGACATTTCCATTTATAAAACTACAATTTTGAATCATGATCACTTGGAATTTGTCTAAAGAATATTCTAAAATTTTCTAACACGATTAGATACTTCTAAACGTATTCCTAATACGAAATCCAAATAATTTACGTTCAATAAAAAAAATCAAAGACAAACATAATTTCCATGTATAAAATTTGTTAGATGTTATTTTTTACAATAGTTGTTGTTTGTTTTTTATTTGTAGGTTGAGTACAAAGAATTAATTATTAATTCTAAAGCACTAACTTAAAATTTATACATAGAAAAAAGAAAAAGGGAGCCAAGATGATAGCCGCTCCCAGAGCACTTGAAATAGCGACAACAATAACATTTTGTTCGTCGTCGTCCATGTACGGGTGTAATAATCTACTTCAACTTCTTCTTGGGACGCAAGTTGTTGGTGTGACCACACTTCTTCTTGCGGCAGTTGGTAGCACGAGGATGGAGACGAGCATAGCACTTACGGCAGATCATCTTATCGCAGTTGTATTTTTGGGCCAAAATACGCAATGAAGGTTCAATGATACCACCACGAAGACGGAGTACCAAATGCAAGGTGGATTCCTTTTGGATGTTGTAGTCGGACAAGGTGCGACCATCTTCCAATTGTTTACCAGCGAAGATCAAACGTTGTTGATCTGGGGGGATACCTTCTTTGTCTTGGATCTTGGCTTTGACATTTTCAATGGTGTCGGAAGGTTCGACCTCCAAAGTGATGGTCTTACCGGTGAGGGTCTTGACGAAGATCTGCATTTTTCTATAAAAGAAATAAAGAAAACAATTTAGTTTACATACAAACACATTTATATATAAATTTCAAAATTACTAAACCAAAACACACAATTCCACAAAAATGCGACGACGTGTTTCTTTCCATGTTGGTTGGTTGTTGGTCTTTAACTTTTTTAGGTTAGGTTGCTTGTTGTTTTCTTAGCCACACATTGCTTATATTTCTGTTTAACATGAAATTTTCACATTTCTTCATTTATTTTATTTCACACACTTACTAGTTGTTATTTTATTTGTGTGGAATGTTTTTTCAGTTTAATAAATTTGCAATTTCACAATTTATTTAAAAAAATATTTTTCTTACCTTTAGAAACGTGCAGTCAAATGCTAATCAAAAGTTAAAAAGGAAAATAAAAAGGGAAATTTCCAATATGGCGTCGTTTGAACTGTCATTTTTAGTAAAAGTGGGATATTTAGCAGAGCAATGTGACTGAGTTGCCAACCACATGAACTTTACAGTAAAACCTGTATGTGCATCTCCTAAAAGAGGGAAATTTATTAGAGGCGATGTAATATTATTAATATTGTTGCCATTAAAAAGATACTGAATATGATTATTGAAACATGTAATTATAAATGTTAATGTTTTTAATTTATTTCATTAAATTGGTGTTATAGCCAATTTGCCCATTGAGATACATAAAAAAATAATGAAAACTACTCTCAAAGATTAAAAAGTAGTTGTAAAAAATGACAAATAAATTTAATGGGTATGATTTTGCGCATTGAACATGGTATATCAACCAATTAATTACAATTTTTCTTAAGGTGGATTGTTACATCAAATAAAAATATATATGTATTGTTTCGAATAACATGTCAAAAAAATTGAAAAATATTCAAATAAAATTGAATATTTAGTCTAGAAATAATTACTTTGTTGTAGATGAAACAAATATGAGTATTTCCGTATAATTCTTAAATACGCAAAATAAAAGAAAGAAAGACCACATTTGTCATTTTTCTTCCTGTTCTTAGCATAAATACTAACTTAATGTCTATAAATGCAGACACTGCCAAAATAAAAATTGCAAAATCAAAAAAGGGCCGAGTGAGTGTCCGAGAAAAATCCTTCGCAAATAAAGGATATGCCAAATTTTGAAAGTGCAGTATTAATGCTTGATATCTCTTATTCATGTAAAGAATATTAAAAGTTCAAAATATTCCCACAATTAGCAGAGTATTCCCATTAATAGCAATGATGTCTAAAGTCATGTATATTTGAAGTGACCGCTCTTTTGTGGCTTTTATTTCAAAGGTAAAACCCGGAGGCTCTTATTTTTTAGCACTGATAGAACTCCCAAAGTTCTACAAAAAGTGTTAAGGAAGAATTGTAAAAATGTAATTGTTTAAATTTATTTAGCATTTAAAATTTGATTTTGAAAGTCGTGTAAGTGACTACGGAAGTGCCCATATGTCATATTATTCCCTACTCAATTGTTTGAAGAAATAGTAACCTTTTATTCAAGTTTAGCATTTTAAGTTGTGTTGAAAATGTCAAATAAACACAATAATTTGTTGCCTATATTTATTTTATATTTCACAGAAAAAGAAGCCACTGCATACAGAGTTGCTTTTTCATTATTCACCTCAAGTTATCCATGGCATAATTATACAAGGTAGTCTCATATGTTTCCAATTTTTTCATAAAATTGTCATTGAAAGTATTCCGCTATCAAAATTTAAATATCTTCTTTCAAAATGTATGCAAATTTTGTGTTCAGTGGCAAAAATTACTTAATAATTTATATTTATAAATATTTTGAAGTTCCCTGCCTCTAAAACTTATAAATATAAGATGTAACAACCATGGTAAAATCTTGAAAACAATGTTCAGCTTTAGAAAATATATCTTGTTAAATTTAAAGAAAATATGCCAACCGACATACATAAAATATTATGGAATTTATTTTTCATATTTTTTTAAAATTGATAGATGAGTTCCAAATTAAAAGGGGTTGCCATAATCAAATTCTCAAATGAGACTACCTTCTGGTATGAACTCAATTGTCTTCGACTGTCCTGTCGCTTGTAGAAGACGCAGGGTTACGATATGAATTACGAAACGATTTTATTGATATGGGAATAGCCGAATTTATTCTAGTTTTGTCAAGTGGATATTTTACGAGTAGAAATCCAAAAAGGGTTTGCACTCTTGGGTTGGAATAATAACAGGGTTACGATATGAATTACGAAACGATTTTATTGATATGGGAATAGCCGAATTTATTCTAGTTTTTCTAGTGGATATTTTACGAGTAGAAATCCAAAAAGGGTTTGCACTCTTGGGTTGGAATAATGACAATTTACGAATAATATCAATTTACGAAAGTGGTCTTGAGCAACCTGCAATTTCTTTATAATATTAGCTCTGTCTGTTTACTCGATATTTGGTAACAATTGTTACCAAATGTTACCAACTCTTGTCTGTTTACCCAAAAATCCAGTAAAAGAGAGTCAAGTGAGAGAGCAAGTTAAGCAACAACAAACTTACTGAAGTTTACTGAAAGAATTTTTGCAGTAATATTTTGCAAACTCAGCCATTTTTGGATCAGCTGTTTTATGGCCAAACACAAAAATTATTCAAAACATTTTTTTTTTAATTTGCAAATTTCAATTCGAAATTTAGTTGTATAAAAATTACAGAAAATGAAAGAAAATTCGTAATTAATGCAAAGTTTCATTATGGTGTTTTTACACGATATGTATTTTACATATGTGCTGTCACTTATTTCATCCATATGTAATTCCTTATGTGTGTCAAAATTAGCAGTGTACACAAAACATTTATTTTTGTGTTCAAATCGGCATATGTATTTTACATATGACATAACCTATAAACAAAAAAACACTTTTATTTTTTCTTAAATCAACATTTTTTTATTAAACACCTACAAACGAAATAGTAATTTGTAATAGTTGCCTTTTCATCCTTTTCTTTGAATTGCAATTGAAATATTTTCTTCCAACAATGTATTTCATTCAAACAGCTGATTTCCTTATGTTTCACATACGAAAATAGAGCGCGTCCTATTCGGAAAAAAATACATATGTAATTGCATATCGTTTTGACACATTGAAATTTCCGTATGTTTCACATGACGAGTTCGATTTCCATCATGGTATAATAATAGAAGGTAACAGCAAGTGTTGTTGTACAACAAACGATACAACAACCACATGGAAATTTGTTTTTGTAAGTTATACTAGTGTCAACGTCGTTTGACAGAAAAATGTAAACAAACAAATAAATTATATTTATTTTGAAAATAAAATATTTTCGAATCCTCAAAATAAATTTTGAAAAACATGAATGAAAATCTATCAAATTCATATTTCTATCGCTTCCACAACTTTCTTATAATTGATCTATTGCCACTTATATGTGTAACACATATGAAAATGCAGGGAATTGCGAGTTATTCAATGAACAAGGATTTGCTTCCTTAAACTTTCCCAACAGGCATATTGAGTAAAATGAATACGTGAGGACATTTAATAAAGAACAATTTCGAATTGTATGCGTTCCCAATTTTCCTGTTGGGTGATTTTTAAAAACATAATTTGTCAAATTCATATTGACACTAGTATTACGTTGGAATCAAATCAGCTGGGACTTGCTGTTACCTTTTATAATTGTACCATGGATTTCCATATGTAAAAATGTGACAGCACATATGTAAAATACATATCGTGTAGAAACACCATAAATTAGAAAATAATTCCTTATTTTTTTAGGCAAGTTTCCGATAGAGGGCAATGTATTGATGCAGGAAGCTTAAATGTTCCCGGGGAACATACCAAATCATTTTTTCTTTTATTATACATTTTATTTTTAATATTAAATGCAATACACATAATTGTGTTCGTCCTTTGTTTGTTGTTTATTTAGGCGCAAATCAAATGTTTTCTTGAATCAGCTGTTTATTTGCTAAATCTTACTAAATGTTGTCTGTTTACTTTTCTCAGTATTATCGCAATCAGTATTTCGCTTATACGAATTTCCAATTAACCGGATTTTCTTTTAAGCGAATTATAGTGTTTGAAAATTCAACCGAAATATTAGTTTATAAGTTTTAGTTTCAATTAACCGTTCGCTTATCCGAATTCGACTGTATATTTTCTCCCGATTTTAAGTAAATGATGCGCAAAGAACTCATATCATATTGAGGCCAATATGCACAAAACATACTGAAATTAATATAACGTAACCTGTGACAAGTTTCTATGAGATTGGTTTAGATTTCAATATAGCTTTCATATATATTGTCGTCCGATTTAAAGTGGTGCACCAAACTCCTCATGTTTTTCAGATATGTATCCAAATTATCAACGGATGTCCGATTGATATTTTTGATTTACATTATTTTGTCCCATTGTAAGAAGCAACTCTATATCTTACCAAATGAAAAATTTAGTATGGGGTGCAAATGAGGGTCTAATTTCATGTAAATGACCCTTCAATAATGCGACATCTGTATAGATTAATCTGTTGAATATGCCCAATGTGGTGAAGGTTATCATGTAGTTGGCCCAATCCGACTTTACTACTTTCCTTACTAGTTAATTATGGAATACCCCATACTTTCCCCACCAGTTTGGATCTATGCATGGTATAATTATTACAAGGTAGGGCACAGCTACCAACTGATTACAATTTTTTCTCAAGGTGGCTTGTTCCATCAAATCAAAATACCTATTTTTTATGTGTGTACTATTTTGAATACTATGTCAAATAAATTCAAAATAAATTGAAATATATTCAAATTTAATTGAAATGAAAGTTTTGTTTTTAACATGTTCGTCTGGAAGTAATTACACCTAATTCTGTTTTTACACGAATTTGAAATAACACGAGTAAATACGAAAAAATATTTCTATTTTTACACGACATAATTTGAAATAACACGAATATAAAAAAAAAAAAAAAAAAACAAAATTAATTTTTTTACATGAACTATTTATTTATTGAAGAAAATTCTGGAATGCTTTTGCTCAAACATCCCTGCCTTAATTAGAGTAACAACCCTGCATGGCATGAATTTCTGATATGGCAACATTTTATATAATTCTGGTGTGTGTTCTGAGTTATGTCTATGTATGCGTAATTTCTGTTTTACGGGAAATAATAAGTTAACGCGAAATAAAACTCAATCTAAGATAATTGATTTCGTTCAAAAATCTACTGATGTCCCAACACAGTCGGCTAGAAATGATAATGATCAACAAAATCATTCCTGTGATGGCAGTGATATTGTAGTCTTTCGCAAACGTTTACGTTTATTATCAGACAGTGACAATAAATAAAATTGTTTAATGTTTAAATTTTTCTTATGGTTGTATTTTAAGCTATTTAAGATTTTTGGCAATGAATTTCTGGTATTATTTTTTTATGAAATCTAAATCTTAATTTATTTTATTATAATTTAGTTTATTTAATAAATTAAAACGAAAATAAATTCTTAAAATAAGTACAACAATATTTTTTTATATTATTTAGTCTAATTTTAACTTATTGAGGTTATAGAACCTCACCTTAAATATATATATAATTATATTTAATAAATAGCTCAAGGGTTTGCAGTAATTCATGTCAAAGCAATCCAACTTATAGTACGTTTACATTTAACCGGATTTCGTTAACCCAGTGGGTTTCAATTGTCAATTCCTTTGCATATATGTCAAATAAATCTCCATAAAGTAGGTTAACCCGGTAAAAAGTTCTAATGTATATGCCGTTTTAAACTTTAATTACAATTTTAAGCAATTGAAAAAATAATCAAATAAATATTCGCCGATTCTATAATATGAACTCCATTTTTTTAATCTCTTCTTATTTTGTTTCAGGATTCACAGACGGACATTTTATTTGAAATGTATATATGTGAATATATTCCAAATCCACTGCCAAGTTTAACCAAAATTTCTGAGTTTGTCTTCTGCTATGAACTTTATAAATGTACCACTGTAAAAATCCCCCTAGTGATTGGCAACTCTATACGAAATTCCCCCGTATTTCCATTACAACTGCAGCTAACTTCATATAGTATTTTTTAACATATGATATTATATTCACCATTGACAGCTGTCAATGGTGTCAAATTCACCTCTTCCAGAGAGCAAATATTTTGACACCGTGCAAAAGAGCGAGAGGGCAAGAACAAGAGAGAATTGTGTGTGAATGATTTGATTTTTTTCGAAGCAGAATCATTCATTGAAGATTTTTAAGCCGCAAGTGGTTTGCATTTGGATAGGGGCTGTGTTAAATAATACCCACAGAAAACAAATAATGCAATAGAGGCCGATAAAATCGACAAAGAATTAATCTGAAAAATACATATTTTCTGTTAAAACAATAGAAAAAGAGTCTTCATCATCAGCAAGAACGAGCAGTGTGAAAAGACAACGTGGTGGAAAGCGAACTTCTATACACAAAACAAAGATTTTTTTTGCAAATTTGTCGTGGGCCTTTTGTTTTGTCTTTCGGTGTGTGAACACTACGAAAATAAAATGCAAATTTGCCAATGAGAAACCTGTAATTGAATACAAATTTACAATAATTCTGAAATTATTCTAAAAACCAGCAAGATAATTATGTCTAGTGAAGCGCAACAACAACCACAAGATGCGGGGAATGAGGTAAGTGAAGAGAAAGTACAAAAAATTTTTAAGTCAAATGAAAAAATATAGAACTTGGTTAGAATGTGCATGGAATGATGTTAAGGTCAATGTAATCGTCAATATGAACACGTACGTAGTCGTCGCCTGATATTTTATGTCATAAAACAAATGGAACAGACGTGGAGATATTTTTCGTGGTTGGGCTATGCGGGCGGGCTGGCGTTCGCATCAACTCAAGTCATAATTAGAAGATTTAAATGGAGATTTCAAATGTAGAACAGTATAGGAGGCGAAGTCACAGTCATGCTGCAGCTGACTTTAGAAAATTCATTAGCATGTCATGTGCGCCATCGAACAACCGACTCATTGAATTGCTGAGAATAATTTTTTTATTGTGATCATGGCAATTTTTCACGTTCAATTTAATGTTCTTTTTGAAAACTTGATTATGATTATTATGGAGTAGCGATTTAAGGGTATGTTGTCATGAAATATGATTCTTTAGAATAATATTACTTATCCATGGAATTGTGCATTTTAATATTTAGATATTTCAAGTAGTTCCAATATATCCACAAAATAAGCAAGTAAAAAATCGATCCCAGTTTGTAGCTACCACGTATACGGTAGGTAAACAATGTTTTAAGATTTATTTCTTTAATAACATTTTATCTGCTTCTAGGGTTCTTTACATTACAAATATTGGAAATAAAATCTATATTAAGAGCAGTGTTCGCAAAAAAACGGTACACTATCGTAGTGTACCGTACCAGGAACACAAACACTAAAAAAATTTTAGCGTTAGTGTTCCGGTACACAAACATTAAAAATATTTTAGTGTTACTGTTCCGGAGCACAACGAAATTCGTAGTGTACCGCTGTCGGAGCACTAAAAATCGTAGTGTACCGCGGTCGGAGCACTAAAAATCGTAGTGTACCGCGGTCGGAACACTAAAAAATCGTAGTGTACCGCGGTCGGAACACTAAAAAATTGTAGCGTACCGCGGTCGGAACACTAAAAATCGTAGTGTTCCATTTGGCGGAACACTAAAAATCGTAGTGATCCACTTGGCGGAACACCTAAAATAATAGTGTTCCATTTGTCGAAAAACAAAATGATGTATTTATCTTTTTTTTTAGTATGAATAAAATTTATATTTTTATTGCTTTTCAATATACTTAATAAATACAATATTATTTTATATTTGTATTTGTTTATATTTTATTAAAAAATAGTAATATTATATTAACATCAACAGTTTACCATAATAACTATTTTGTAACTAAAAAAGGGCGTCTAGTGCCAACTCATAACTGAAAATTCCATTGAATTGCATTTTGGGTTATAATCGATTGCGCTCATCGGAAATATGAAATTCGACTTTTATATGGTACCTGTATGTGGTCTTGTAATATTTATCCCAAAATCATAAAACTACTTTTTTCATATCCGCGTAACTTGTACACTTCTTTTCATGAATAAGCAGGTAATAATTATGTTGATTGTGTGCCAATCATCAAATTTTGAATATTTTTGATAAAATTTCCTAAAAGTATGAATCATAGATGCAGGTATAATTTTTTTAAGAAAAAAATTTTCATACCAACATTTTACAAGGAGATCTCCTAATTTTATGGGAAAAATCGTGTTCGTTCTGTAAATTAATGACAATTTTATCCAAAGCTGTATAATTTTGTCACAAAAACTGGCCAAAATACCTAAATTTTGTAATTGCCAATAAAGTTATATTCATTTTTATTTTTTTATTATTTGATCTCATTTTACCTCAAAAAACAAAACAGACGTGTATGGTACACTACCAGTACAGTTCAAGTAAGTGAAACGCTACGATTTGTATTGTTCCGACCAGTGGATCACTACGATTTTTAGTGTTCCGAACAGTGGAACACTAACATTTTTAGTGTTCCGACCAGTGAACACAACGATTTTTAATGTACCGCAGTCGGTACACTACGATTTTTTAGTGTACCGCAGTCGGTACACTACGATTTTTTAGTGTACCACTGCCGGTACACTACGATTTTTAGTGTACCGCTGTCGGTACACTACGATTTTTTAGTGTACCGCAGTTGGTACGCTAAGATTTTCGTTGTGCTCCGGAACAGTAACGCTAAAAATATTTTTAGTGTTTGTGTACCGGTACAGTACGTTATTTTAGTGTACCTATCCACCTTGGTACGGTACAGAACACTATGGAACGGTACCATAATGTTTATTTTCGAACGCTGATTAAGAGACCGGTTGAAATCATTTTGAATATTTTACCATGGGTGACTTTTGGTGTACAGAATATATTTTTTCTTGTGAAAGACCACACTTCTCGAAATTTAAATTTAACATGATCAAATGAAACCAGTAAGGAAAGAAGTAAAGTCGGTCTATGCCGACTACATGATACCCTTCACAACTTTGGGTATATTCTACATAGGTATCATAACAATTTGAATTATAATTTTCAATTTCATGTCAATGCTCTGTCGATGTGATCTTTATCTATAAGTTAACCGGCTAACATCAGTCCATACACATGCCTTTCTGCAACCTATGCTAAATTTCATTTCATTCGTGCAGATTTGGAGTCGTTGGAGCTATGTATAAATCTGAACCGATTTTCACAAAACTTCGCACACATCATTCTAAACTTAGCACAGTACGCTATACCAAATTTCGTGGAAATCGAAAGATATATTGCGACCTTCGTGCACCATTTACCTTAAATCGGACGAAAATATATATGGGAGCTATATTTAAATCTGAACCGATTTTTACGAAACCTAACACACATCATTCCAGACTCAATACAGTACGCTATGCCAAATTTCGTGCAAATCGAAAGATATATAGGAAGTTTGGTGCACCATTTACATTAAATCTAACGAAAATATATATTGGAGCTATATCTAAATCTGAAGCGATTTCAACAAAACTTCACAGAGGTCAAACTGGACCCAACTCAGTACGCTGTGTAAAATTTTGTCTCAATCGGACAAATATTGAGAGTTTGGTGCACCATTTACAAAAAATCGGACGAAGCTATATATGGGAGCTATATATAAATCTAAACCGATTTCAGCGAACTGGACCCATAAAAAGTGGATCTATATTTATAATTTTTAGTGGAAATAATTGGTACCCAATAAGAACCCTTTGTACCATATATTAATGAATTCGATTAAAAACGCGCTCAAACCTCCAAAATAACGACATATTCAGGGTATCTTTATATGGGGGCTAACCGGAAAAAATGGACCAATATCAATAATTTTTAGGGGAGAGATTTGGTATCACCTAAGAGCCTAATGTACCAAATAAAAGTCAATTCGTTCGAGAAACGCGTCTAAATCCTAAAAAAATTGTAGTAGATTTCTGAGAGGAAAATATAGTAAAATAAGAAATCCTGACATTTAGTAAAAATTGTCTGGTAGAGCAAACATTATATTCTAACAATTATAATCCTTTCTCTTTAATCATCTTTTTCCCTTTCTTCATCTTTTATAGGTCGCCCCAGCAAATGGTGAGGCTCCCGTCGAGGGACAAGCCCAAGGTCAACAACAGCCACAGCAACCTCAATCAAAAATGGAATCATTCTTTGCAATGACAAAATCTTTAATTCTACGTGCCCTTATCATTTATTTTGTATCGTCGTTCTTTAGACGAGGTCAACCCGTTGCCAATCCCAATGCTAACGATAAATCACCAGCTGCCTCAGGACCTAAGCTGCATGCATGGAACTTCTTTGAAAATGGTACCCTCTACGATTTACATGTTTGGCTATCCGAAGATCCAGATCAAGTAAATTTTCAACAAAAATCAAATTTACTTTGGCTGCAGGAAGATCTAACATATGGCGATTGGAAATCGGGACCAAATCGTGATGGTCTCTATTATCATCATGTCAATGTTAAGGCGACACCACAACTAATGAATAACGGTTCGATTTATTTACATGCATTTGTCACGAAACAGGGTGAATCGCCCGATCCGAATGCGGCAAATTTTGCCCGCAATGGTGTGTTTGGTTATCAAACGAAACGACTGAATAAATTCAAAAAGATACGTGTCAATCGTAACTATAATCTGTTGGCAAGTGAAAAAGAGAAAATCGCCCAAGAAATTGCCCAGGCTAATTTGAAAGATACCATTGTATCGCATTGGCATCAAAATTTAACTGTCAACTTGGTGGTGGATCAAACAAATTGGGCTCAAGGTACGGTGCCACCACCATTGGATGAATATGTTAAATTTGTAGATGGTGGTAAAACATATTTGCCCATTGTTTTCATCAATGATTATTGGAATTTGCAACGTGATTATTATCCCATTAATGAAACAACACCAGAGCTGCCTTTACATTTGACATTCCAACCGATTGGTATGTTCAAATGGCAATTGTATGCGGCCCAGCAAATGAAAAATAAATTTGCCGGTAATATGTTGGGTGAACTAATGGCTTCGGGTGGTGCTGAGGTGAGTAAATTTGTCTTTAAAAATCCATTCCTTGAAAAATTATTCTTAAAAAAACCCACGCCTTGTTTGAGTCCTTAAAAAATTATTCGTTAAAAATCCACGAATCTGTTTGAGTCCTTAAAAAATATTCTTCAAAAATCCACGCCCTGTTTGAGTCCTTAAAAAAATTCTTTAAAAATCCACGCCTTGTTTGAGTTTTCCAAAAAAAATATTCTTAAAAAAATCCACGCCTTGTGTAAGTCCTCCAAAAAAATATTCTTTAAAAAATCCACGCTTTGTTTAGGTGTGAAAAATATTCTTTAAAAATTCACGCCTTGTTTAGGTGTGGAAAAAATATTCTTTAAAAAATCCAAGCCTTGTTTGAGTCCTTAAAAAAATATTCTTTAAAAAATCCACGCCTTGTTTGAGTCATTTAAAAAATATTGTTTAAAAAATCCAGGCCTTGTTTAGTCTTTCGAAAAAATATTCTTAAAAAAATCCTCTAAATAAAAAAATATTTGTATTTTTATTATTATTTTAAATTTATTTATTTCGTTTATTAATAAATTTTAATTTCCTCTTTTTCTTCCAGGAATCCGATGAAGATCAAGATTCTCTTAAGGAAACAATGTTGGAAACCAATATCTATTTATTGGGTCTCACCATTGCCGTCTCATTGCTGCATTCCGTCTTCGAACTGTTGGCCTTTAAAAATGACATACAATTTTGGAATAATCGTCAATCGTTGGAAGGTCTGTCGGTGCGTTCCGTTTTCTTTGGTGTATTCCAGGCTCTGATTGTGCTCCTCTACGTTTTGGATAATGATACTAATTTCATGATTCGTGTATCCTGTTTCATTGGCCTTGGCATCGAAGTGTGGAAAATACACAAAGTTGTGGACATCAATTATAGCAGCGACCAGAAGATATTGGGCATTTTCCCAAAAATTTCCTTCAACGATAAGGGTTCATATTCGGAAAGTTCCACCAAAGAATATGATAATTTAGCATTTAAATATTTAAGTTGGGTATGTTTCCCATTGCTGATCGGATATTTTGTTTATTCGCTGGTCTACAATGAACACAAGGGCTGGTACTCGTTTGTGTTGAATATGCTCTACAGCTATTTGTTGACATTCGGTTTCATTATGATGACACCTCAACTGTTTATTAACTATAAAATGAAATCGGTCGCTCATATGCCATGGCGCATGATGACCTATAAATTCCTCAATACCTTTATCGATGACATCTTTGCATTTGTTATAAAAATGCCCACAATGTATCGGCTGGGTTGCTTCCGTGATGATATCGTCTTCTTTGTTTTCCTCTATCAACGCTGGCAATATCGTGTTGATCTGAAACGTGTTAATGAGTTTGGTTTCTCCGGCGAAATGGTCGAAGAGGCTGCCCAAAAGAAACTCGAGGGCACAACGCCAGCTGTCAAAGATACTCCAAAATCTGCACAAGAAAAGAAAAAAGATTAATGTAAAAAATATCGAAGAAAAAAATGTTTGTGTGCGTTTTTTAATTTAATTTTTATTGCAAATTACTTGCGATATTTTTTTTAGCATTTTATTATTATAGAAAATGTAAATTTCTAGGAGATTTTAAATGAATTGCATCTGTATAGAATTTTATTAACAGCATGATGATGTCAGTTCATAGTTTTATTTAAACGAAAAAAAAACCAACAACAAAAAACAAAAGTGTATTTTTGGATAACTTATTAAAAACAAATTGTTGACCGACCTACATACATACAAAACGAAATAAAAAATAACAGCTTTGTTTTTTATGTTTATTCACAATTTAAAGAAAGAAAAAAAGAATTTAAAATAAGTTATATTCTATTTTTTGTTTTCTGTTCTATTCCAAACTGCATTAAAATGCGCATATCATAAATACAACAATAACTCAATAGTTAAATTTATTTTGTTTTATTTTTTATTTGATTTATTTGTTTTTTCTTGTAACTCACTTCTTGTGTAATTTTTGTTTTAGTTATCTGTTCTCATATGGAATTTACAAGTATTTATATACCTACATATAGATTTAATAAAAAAAGAAATGCTGCCCCAAAAAAGCAACAACAACCAAAACCCTAGGAAATTACCCAACAACAAGAATATACAAGAAAGCATACTTACAAATACATGAAGAAATGAAGAAAAAAATAAATAAAAGAACAAAATCAAAAATTAAAGATTGAGTCTTATCTTTATTGCTGTTTTTCTATTTAATCAACAGTTGTGAGATCTATGATAAGCAGGTAAAAGACATTTAATTGTTACTAAGTAAGTCATGGACCTAATCTTTTTCTTCATTTATTTATTCGAAATACCGTGAGTATGTATGTTGATGGATTTTCAACGGAGTCCATAAGATCATGGTTGACCTACTTAATTGAAATGAGTAATTGTTTTTGGAAAACAAATACAAATGAAATTAATTGCAAATGTAGGGAATTAGGACTAAATAATCCCAGCAAGCATTTTCTATCCAAAAAATATCCAAAAAGTTACTACCAGGCGATGAAAACACTCGTAGGCGATATCGTATTTTTAACAAATAAGTTATACCGTTTGGGAAGAAATGAACCACGTACTCGTTACCTTTAAACATGATCTTCTTCGTCACAGTTTGAAGTTAATAAAGCGACACTCCAAAATGACACTGTTTTGTTACCTTAATTATTATCGCCTTAGTTTCAGTTTTATCTTCGCCGTCATATTCACTTTCACTATTTTCCGAACTGCCATTCACATTAAAATCAATTGCCTTTTTTGATGTAGAGCTCTTGTTTGCACTGAATGATGAATGTTCCAAATGATTCTTCTGTACTTATAACCAATGAGTTATACATCCATGACCTTAAATCTATATTTTTCCGCGCCTCACTATATTATTTGATACAGCAATGAAAACGGTTTCAGGCCAAAGATTTTTTATAATGAAAATGTATCCACAAATTTTTATTCGATGACAAATATTTATAGAACGACAGTTAAATTATGAAACTATCGAATTTCCATCTTCATTCATTTAACTAAGTAGTTACTACAGACGACCGAAATTGGATAACAATTCATTTGTTATTGTAAAATTACGAACTATCACCCTTTTACAAAAAATAAGTGTTGAAGTAGATAATTATTTGAAGATGGAGTTAGAAACTCACTTCCAAATGCTTGCAGGGAATCTACTTGGTTTTTTCTCAACAACTGAACCTGCTCTAATCTTAATTAGAAAACTAAAGTGGTTGGGAAAGTGCAACCTTGACACGTAATATATCTTCTGTCCGATCTCTGTAGCCATCGATACAATTTCAAACTTACATTCTTATATTTTCTTGTAAGCTTTTCATCTCTCTTTATCTCCCCCTTCTTCACTCCCCTATAGATCTCTACTTATCTCTTTTTCATTTCATGGATGATCACAATACGTGACTGAACATCCCCAAACCTAACCTAATTGAAATAAGTAATAGTTTTTGGAAAAAATATGGAAATGAAATCAATTACAAATGTAGGGAATTAGGACAAAATAATCTACTTAGTATTAGTAGAAAATATTCTACAGATGAAGAAGGTAATACCGCTTGTAATCTGAACCGATTTCAACGAAACTTGCTAGAGATTAAAATATATTAACTTCAGTATATTGTACAAAATTGTGTGTCAATCGTACAAACTTTGGGTCTTAAGTGCACAATTTACATAAAATCGGAAGAAATTATAAGTGGAGCAATATCTAAATCTGAACCGATTTTTAAGAAAATTAACACACATCATTCTAGTCTTAATTCAGTACGCTATGCCAAATTTCTTGCAATTCGTAACTTATATAGGGATTTTGGTGCTCAATTAACATAAAATCGGACGAAAATATATATGGGAGATATATCTAAATCTGAACCGATCTCCATGAATCTTAGCACACATTCTAGACTCAATTTAATATATTATGCCAAATTTCTTGCAAATCGTAAGTTATATAGGGACTTTGGTGCACCATTTACCTAAAATCGGAAGAAATATATATGGGAGCTATATCTAAATTTGAGCCAATTTCCAGGAAACTTAACACACGTCATTCTAGAATTAATTCAGTGCGACATACCAAATTTCGTGTAAATCGAAATATATATAGGCTACTTGGTGAACCATTTACATAAAATCAGACGAAAATATATATGGGAGCTAAATCTAAATCTGAACCGATTTTCACGGAACTAAGAACACATCATTCTAGACTTAATTTTGTACGCTATGCCAAAATTCGAATGATTTTCAGGATTTGGTGTACCATTTACCTAAAATCGGACGAAAATATATATGGGAGCTATATCTAAATCTGAACAGATTTTTTCCCAATTTCAATAGGGTTCGTCCTTGGGCCAAATAAATGAGCTGTACCAAATCTCATTCAAATGGGATTACAAATGCGACCTGTACTTTGTTTACAATTTAACATCAAGAGACGGACGCACATTCATAAATCGACTCAGCAAGTGATTCAATGCATATTGTCAAAAGGAACCATTGGTCTGTTTCCGTACTATAACAGTACCATGGTACAATTATAAAAGGTAACAGCAAGTCCCAGTTGATTTGATTCCAACGCAATACTAGTGTCAATATGAAATTGACAAATTATGTTTTTAAAAATTACCCAACAGGAAAATTGGGAACGCATACAATTTGAAATTGTTCTTTATTAAATGTGCTCCGTATTCAATTTACACAATCTGCCTGCTGGGAAAGTTTGAGGAAGAAAATCGTTCTTCATGGAATAACTCGCAATTCCCTGCATTTTCATATGTGTTACACATATAAGTGGTAGTGGCTCAATTATAGGAAAGATGTGGAAGCGATAAAAATATAAATTTGATAGATTTTCATTCATGTTTTTCAAATTTTATTTTGAGGATTCGAAAATATTTCATTTTCAAAATTTATATAATTTGTTTGTTTGTTTACATTTTTCTGTCAAATGATGTTGACACTAGCATAACTTACAAAAACAAATTTCCATGTGGTTGTTGTATCGTTTGTTGTACAACAACACTTGCTGTTACCTTTATTATTATACCATGTAACAGTACGAGAACACACCATATGTGTCCATGGCATAATTATAGTACGTTTACATTTAACCGGATTTCATTAACCCAGTGGATTTCAATTGTCAATTCGGTTGGTTAACCCGGTAAAAAGTTCTAATGTATATGCCGTATTATACAAGGTAGTCTCATGTTATGTGTTTCCATTTTTTTTTCAAAAATTTGCTTTTGACAACATTCAGCTTTCAAAATTTAAATGAAAATATCTTTCCTCGAATTGTACGCATATCATATGTTCAGTGCAAAATTGCTGTCAACTGTCAAACCAAGTTCTATTGATACCCAGCTAGCGGAAGTCAGCTCTTTTTTCTCATGTCAAATGTTGGCCTTTGTTTACGTTTTCATTATGGAAGTAAATTCTCAATAATGTATTTTGACAGCATACTTGAGAAGCAGCAGATATCAAGCTGTTCTCCCTGGACGACCTTATTTATAGACCTGGTGTCAAACTAGCTCTCGGGTTTCGCTCTCTTTTAATGAACTTTGGAGTAACATAAAGTAACATTTGGTAACAATTGTTACCGACCATAAATCTTTTTCCACTCATAACTCCACAATTTCACTGATCTTGTTGCGGAGACCATTGCACGGAACAGCTGTATATGATGTTATTTGCTGCGTGTTTTGCTGTTGAGGGCACTGCTGGGTGTCTCGATTTCCTACGCGTAGGAAATCTTCCTACAAAATTAACAACTTTATTAACGGTCGTTATTTAATGGAATTGGCTGTAATTTGATACTTTAAGTTCCCATTGGGTAGATATATCCCTACCAAAAATGATCTATATGGGTCCACTTTTTAGGATGTGTTGGCTGTCGGTAATTGGGACACATGTTTTAATTGAATTGGCTCTAATTTGGGCGCCAAATCTTCCTACCAACAATTTAGCATGGGACAGCCCGCCATTTATGAGAGATTATTGGTATTTTAAACTTCAATGTTCTCTTAGTAAGTTTCGGCCTGGTCTAGTGATCATAGCACCGATAAACATTTTTTATGATAGTAGAAAATCAAGTCTAATTTGCTTAACTTAACCTTTAGTTTTCATGATGTCTGTCTAAGGTAAGTGCTTCGGCTAGCGTTGGGATTACCATTACTGTCAGCGTTAACACGATTTGGAGTTTGTAACCCATTAATCGGTCATCAAAATTATTCTTTAGGCCGTGGACTGTAACTCTTTCTCACAGGAGCATCCATGTAGTTAGTAATGTTCCGAATCGAATCGAATGAAACTAAATTTTAAACATACCTCAATCGGAATACTATTCAGACCTGCTCGATAGGCATTTTTTATATCTTCGGATCTTCTTCTGACACGCCTGGGGGAGTTTTATCCACTAAATGACGGTCACCCTAATCATTGTTGATGATCTGCAACCCAAGGCTTCGGGGGTTTTTTAAATAATAGGCGGGGGTTTTTTAAATAATAACTTTTTCGACGCCTATCAAAATATGCGTGTGGTTTTAAAAAATATTTCTTTCGATGCCTATCAAAATAGAAGAGGCGTTTTTTTTTTAAATAATATTTATTAGAGGCCTTTTGTAAATAATATTTTTTTGAGGCCTATCAAAATAGACGTGGGTTTTTTAAATAATATTTTTTTACTACGTTAACGAATGTTCCTTTATGATATTGAAAAAAATAGTAAAATCTAGATTCTTGCTGTGCGGGTACAGACACAAAAAGACGATCTTTCTTTAAGGCCTATCCAAATAGGTATGGTTTCTTTTTAAAATCAAAGTAGGACCAAATGATTCTTTAAACGAATATTTTTCAAGATCTACAAAAAAATTAAAATTCATGTTTACGACGCACTGACTAAAATCGTACCATTGTTTAGTACACAACACAGTTTGCTATCCCTATCCATACTACCACACAATACAACTGTGAAACATTTGACGTTTACAAGTGGGTGCAGAAAAACTAGAAAATTGTGCGTATATTTTACAGACGGAGTTTATTTTATAAAAATATGTAGAAAATTGTGCAAAAATCTTAATAAAATTAAGTGAAAAGTAAACTACAAACAACAAATTTCCAAAATTGAATAAAATACTCTACGAAAATATGAAATAAAGCCGTAAAAAAGCAAAACAAAATTGTTAAAATTAATGAATGTGAAGAAAAAAAAATTTCAGTGTGTATGAATGTTTTCTCTCTGTCTCGCTCTCTTCACAGATGAAATAGAGTAGAGTTCCCCCCACCCCTTCGTTTGATTTATGTCAGTGGATTGTTATTATAATATATCTTTACAATAGTACCGCTATAAACAGAGAGTGTGAGGACACATTTGCAAAATATAAACAAACCACAACAAAAAAGAGTATTGTGAGAGTGAGAGAAAATCATATGAAGCATAGAAGTAGTGCTGCCAGTGGAATTGATTTGATTTCCAAAACTATTCTTGTTCATTAAAAAGCCAATTGAATCTATTAATGCATCAAAATGTATGGCGAATGGGTATCATTGTCCGCACATATAACCGCAAACAGTTGTGCGGCCCAAAGTTGCAGTGTTCTAAATAAATTTCCAGCCAGCTCGGGTCGTGAAGTGACTGTATCGGTGGTTAAACAATTGGCCACAAACTTGGGTATTACTCAGAATGCCGAACCAAGTCATTTGGTTAAAGATGAAGAGGTAAGGTGTTGTCATGAATATTAATTGAAGAAGATATTGTATTTGTAATGGATTTTATTGTTGTAGATATGTATTATTTGATGGTTGTCATTTTTGGCTATTGTGGAGTGTTGTAAGGGAGGGTCTGTTATGGAGAAGGTGCCCAACAAACCAAAAGTTTTGAGAATAATATATTAAGCTTACTAACACAAGCATTAAGCTTGAAAGTCTTGAGAAAATCTTGAGAAATGTTTATTAATAATTGTAGAAAAATCAAAACGGAACCCTTATGATACAATTACTTGTGTAATATTACTAAAAGCTTATTCTTCAAATGGGAAACATTTGTGTACAACAATAGTTTCTCAATCATAGTTGAAAACTGTTTGTGAATTCACATTTTAACAATATTTTTTAATATTACTAAAAAAAGCTTAAGAACAACTATTATTATAAGCTTGTTCTCATGTGGTATTGAGATTTGATTACTGAATGGTATGTTGGGTGGCTATAACTCATGGTTTTTAAATTCATACAATAACCTTAATTAAGTCTATATCGGCATCAATTTAAAACAGTTGAAGTCCTTATATACTTAAGGGCCTTGTTCAATGAATAGCAATTGTCTGCTATTGTATAGTTATATAGCTAGTTACTATGTTCACTAGTTACTTTATATCCAAAAGTGACACACAAAATAGATAATTGACTTCATTTCTTGATTGAAAAAGCTATCTAATTCTGTAGTTACTGGTAATGCAAAAAGTATTGAATCGACAAACAAAACAAAAAAAAAATTGTCATTTCCTTCAGACTTTTTACAATTTTCAGAATTGTGAAAGCAATTTTTTTAAAAAATATTCTTTTAATCATATATAAGTCATATATATCCACGATATACAAGATGAAGTGCTATTGAATTAAAAATCTCGGAATCTTAAAAATACATATGATGAATCTTGGGTAAGTTTTGATATTGCAACACAATAAATACATATGTATGTAATATTTCAACATTATTATCTTACAGATTTTCAATAGATGTCACTCCAGAAGCATCCAACAGATTGAGAAAACAATTAAAAGTTTTTAATAGGTAAATATTCTCCAAAAAGATCCATATCTTTATTTATGTACATATATTTTGTAATTTCTATTTCAGATGCTTCAATATTTCAATTATTTCGTAGAAAACGGATGTTAAAAGCGGCCAAGAAACAAAAGAAATGCAAATGTCAATATGGCGGCGTAAAAATTCTGATAAAATTAAATGAAACATAAACTATGTAAAATATAAATTATGAAATAAATAAAAAATACAATTTCCGTATAACATTTATATTTTCAATTTTCCAAACTGTTATAATAGCCAATTTGCTATATATTTGTAACTAGTGACAATACTTAAAAATGGTATCCACCCAAATGACTGGTTACTGGTAATGCAGGCAGGGGACAATTGACTTCCCCAATGACATACCCATGTTAAATTAAACAGTCTAGGGCATGATGTGGTAACTAGTGGTAGTTACAGGTAATTAGTAAAATAACTAGTTCATAACCAGTTACTCGAACTACTGGGAATGCATGAAGAAAATCAAAATAGTTTTGATTTTGAAAATGAACCCCTATCAATCTGGTGAATAATATTCATTTTGAAAGTTGTCAGCAAATAATTTTGTGTACAAAAATAATAAAATTGTGACGGAATAAATAAACAACTGAATTTACGACTCAAAATGCAATTTTTGGAACAAAAATCTATTTTTTGGAATAGTGATTGAAGAGTTTGCCATACACTAGTCAATCTCACATATACAAAAAGGGGTTCATCGGCATGACGGCATGATTTATAGTGTATGGGGCCCTTAAATCATGCCGTCATGCCGATGAACCCCTTTCTGCAATTTTTACTACAGGTAGAGCTCGTCTTCCTGATCACGAAAATTTATTACATTCATGGGGAAGTCCATACTTCCAGATATATGAACCTGTTAAGTCATATGCTCATAAGACTTAACTTCGTCATTTATTGATCGATTATTGTAATATTGGCAGCTATTTAGAAAAGTTTTATATTCCCGGCAGAAAGCCGTCTATATATAAAAGGAAATTTTAATCGCGTAGACCAATTTTCCACCTGCCCACAGGAGAAAGAAATAATTTATACCATTGTAATCAGAGCCTCAAGACTACCTATTGTAAACATTTCAAAAAAATCCTCGTCCGGACCTAAACTAATTTCTTCCGGTTCTCTTGTCCAAACACCTACAGAGGAATAAAGTCTCAACCGGTTGTTGGGCCAACGATTTTTACAAATAGATACATAAAAATTATATAATTGGAATACTAGTTTGAGTTCTACTGAAATCAGAACTAGACTAGGCTGCAAACATAGAAGGAAAATACTGAAATAATTATCGCAATTAAATGCAAATACTTCTGCTGGTGGTGCCTTTGTCAATTCAATTTTTGGGCGAAGAATTTGAGGATTACGGAATACCGGATGACTTGCCCGTAAACTGAACAATAATTGTTGCAAACCGGAATTTTCAGCTATGCATAGCTGAAACACAGAACAAAAACACATAGCAGGACCAGAAATATGCAGCGATGAGTACAACGTAGAACACCGTTCCCACCACGATCGAATCGAAACGACCCAGATAAAGCTCGGTCAAGTATACTCAAGAACCATATCATTTTCCCCAGGTGAGCAAACCATGTCCGTTGATTTGCTCAATATCCTATTAATAATGGCTGGCATCGAGCAGAACCCGGGTCCCACTTCCACCGAGGTCACTTTAAGTTCAGTGGGTCATAACCGCATAACGTGCAATCTTGTCCAGGTGAAATGCAACCTAGGTGTCATCTAAAACGTTTCTCTGGATTAGCCAGACGTAGAGACTGGTCAAATAACTTTGTGGCGAGCTGTTGTCCCACAAACAGTTCAACATCCCTAAATACTGGGTGTAGTTTCTGATAATCTGCCAAGCACCAAGCACGCTGCTTATGTCAAAGGGAAAGTCCTCAGCAAAAATAAGGTCCTAAAAACTCTGACAGGTACCTATTCCTGGGGAAAAGATAAAGAGACTCTCATCATGACGTACAAAGCCATTAGTCTCTCTGTACTGAGCTATGCCAGCCACGTTTGGACTTCATTCCTAAGTGACACCCAATGGCACAACCTTTAAACGATCCAGAAGCAACATAATGTGTTGCTTGCCAGACAGTTCCTTCTGTCCTGCCATCTGTTACAACAACAACATAGAACAAAAGCACATATCCTTTTTACGGATGAGTTGAAAATTAGGTCCATTAGGTTTTCTAACTTACAGAACTCCATCAGGTTTTCTCATAGTGTCCCATTAGAAGATCATTATATAATTACGTAATTAGGTCTTAGAGTAAAATAAAGTTAGTTTACAAAAATAGCGCTTGTGGTAGATGACCATTACAATTTCTAGAATTTACTCCTATTTTAGATGGTTCTATTATCTCTTGTATTGTTTTTAAAATTCTTTCGAAATATATATATATATATTTTTCATTACAGGTCAATTGGTGTATGGATGTAATATGTTTTGGCCTCTCACTACCCCTGCAGGAGCATGAAACAATCAAAGATTGTGTCAACATCTATTGTGAATGGATGACTGCGTTGCATCCGCAACCTAAAATAAGTGTACCCAAACCAATATGTGAAGATGCTAATATGTATTGTCGTAAAATTATAAATCATTTTCATAATTTGTTTGTGCCTCGCCAGGGTGAAAGTAAGTATATTGACATTAGCAATTCTAAAACTCCATAGATACACTCTGTAATATAATTCCCCTGATGTAGCAACAGCTCGGCAAATAGTAATTGAGAACAAATTTTTTATATCATATAATCACAATATATCTCTCGTATATATAACACTTAACACTGTTTTTCCACTCATTTTCCTTTCAAGTCTTACCATTTATTTATCAAAAAGAGCTTGGTAGGTGTTGCAATGCTGCTAGTAAATCGTTTTTAATTTATTTTCAGTTTTCACTTTTATAAAAAATATAAATAATTACTTGAATTCTTTTTCATTAAATTTTAAAGGTGTTGATACAATGAGTCGTCAAGCGGTGTTGTGTCATCGTGTCCTGCGAACACTTCAACAAACTGCACAAATATCCCAAACTATGGATAGAGAGACATGGGAATCATTATTGCTCTTCCTCTTGGCAATAAATGAGACATTGCTGGCACCACCCACAATTAAAGATGATGTTGGCGATCAATTGTGTGAGAGGCTGTTGCAAGTCCTATTCGAAGTATGGTTATTGGCATGTGTACGTTGTTTCCCCTCACCATCGTTGTGGAAAACCCTACAAGAGTCGTGTGCAATGTGGCGACATCGTGTGGCTTTGGTCGACCAATGGAATCGTGTGAATATGGCATTAACAGCAAGGCTGTTGGAATTCACCTATGGTCCAGCATTTCCGGAATTGAAAATTTGTGAGTAATTCGTTATCTTTTCATAATTTAAAAAAATTAAAATCTTTTTATTATCTATTTCAGCTGACGAAGATGCCCAATTAATTCCCCTGGGAATGACCAATGATTGTGTGGCCCAAACATGGTATCGTTTCTTACGTACCATTGGTAATCCCATAGCATTATGTTCACCACACATTATAAGTAAATCATCACATTTTGTACAATGGGCTCTGACGCACGATAAAGGTGCCGAAACCTATCAACATCCCTGCCTGCAAGCACTTCCTTTGATATTCCTTAAAGCCATAAAGGGTATATCAAATCAAGTTGATGCTTTCTTAGGTAAGTTATTTTTTTCCAACATTTGTTTTCTTCCTTAGTTTCGACAAATTGTTTTGTTGTGGAAGGCGATAATTGAGTTCAGTGTGTAATTTAGGGCATTTCGATTTTTCTTTAGAATGGTTTATGGTCTATTTTGTAAATACATACATATATTTAATTAGTTGTTATTGTATAGTTTTCCAAATAATCTCGAGAAGTAAAAGAAAATTATATTTTTTACTGTAATTCGTATTTATAGCTATTTAGATTGTTAAGAGAACATTTTATTGTTAATTTTTTTAGAAGTTAAATTTTTAAATTTAAAAGGCAAAATTGAGGTTGGAAGATTAAGACATGTGACTATTTCAGATCCATAGGAATGGACTTATACTCTTACTTACATCACCGTTCCGAACCCAAAACTATCATGTCTATTTCGGTAGCGAAAGTTCTTCAGTAAATGGTGTACCATCCCTTATAGACCCACATTGAAGTTACCACCAAGCACGGAATCTACAACCGTTCCTTGATCCCTGTCAGAACCATAGGTTAGCTTTCAGTTTTTGGTTGATTCCTTTAGTCTCATTGATATTCTAGCTGCTTGAAATCTGACTTGTAAATCAAGGGACATTAGATTTATTACCGCATTTAAAGCAGCTTGAGGAGTGCACCAGAAATGAGGAGTGAAGCGGATCGCTGTGCACTGTCTATCTTGGACAACCGCGTCTTTCTTCCAAGCGCCGGCCACCATACAAGGCAACCATAGAGAGAATGGGAAATACGACTGTATCATAGAACCAGTATATGATTTTTGGTTGTAACCCCCAGCTTTTGCCTACAGAGTTCTTTTTTGAATAGAGCGCCATGAGACCTCTCTTTGTGCGTTCCTCTACGTTCCTTTTCCACTTTAATTGGTTGGAACGTTGGAATTTTCCGCTTTCTTTCGTGAACAGTACCAACTCTGTCTTCGTGGGCCGGGCCATGAGACCTCTCACTGTGCGTTCCTCTACGCTCCTTTTCCACTTTAATTGGTTGGAACGTTATAATTTTCCGCTTTCTCGTGAACAGTACCAACTCTGTCTTCGTGGGATTTACCCCTAGCCCACTCCGATAGCAGTTCCAGTGTACTTTGCATATTGTCCGAGATCGTTAGTAGACATGTACCGCCTATTTACACGACCACATCGTCAGCATAAGCCACAATCCTTGTACGAAGCGTGTCAAATTTAACAAGAATCTCATTTATCAGCAGGGGTGATATCACTCCGCCCAGCAGTGTACCCCTGTTGACAGATTTTCTTATGGAACTCTCTCCAATGTTTGCATTGATTATTCTGCTTTTTAGCATCACATCAATCCAATCCACCAGAGTGGAGGAGATTTCTGTGTATACGAGAGCTTGGTGGATAGATTCCAGCTTAACATTATTAAAGGCTCCCTGTATGTCAAGGAAGGATGCTAATGTAAACTCAGAGTTATCCAAGTTTTTCTCGATGCACCACTACGTGTAGGGCTGTATCGACTGATTTGGCTTGATATAAGCGACTTGCGAATTACTGATTTTAAGGGAATCCAAGTTTGTTCTAATTTCTACGTCCAGTAACCTTTCCATTGTTTTCAATAGAAATTAATTAGATTCGTCATATGTTTGTAGTCCTTAGGATGCGTGTGGCAGGGCTTTCCCGCTCTAGGAATGAAAACCACTTTAACTGGCGCTGCATTCTGCAACATCGCAGTTATTATGCCGTCTGGCCCAGGAGATTTGAAAGGTGTTTATCGCTCATACCAGTTTTGAATAAGTAATTAGACCATTTATGAGAGTTTCACTTTCATGAGTTTGAGCTTGATGAAGAATAGGAACATCCATGCTCAAGTCTCTACACCTAGGAAAATGGGTCCCTAATAGCAGGTCCTTATAAGCATTCCAATCAGTACGTAGTTTTGATTTACTAGCCTTGTTGTAAGATTTTCTTGCAATTTTACTAATGATTGTAATTTCCTTATTCCATCACACCGGCTAAGATTTTTTTCCCAGGATTGGTAATTGAACAAGAATTCTCATAGCAACTCAGGAGAGCATTTGTCACCTCTTTTACAGCTCTTTCAAAAACGTTGGTCGTACGAAGGTCACAACGTCCCTCGATTCCCGATGCTCTTTCAGCTCTAAAGCAGTTCCAATTTGTTCTCCTATAGCGTTTCTGTTTTACTCCGTTGAAAAATATCATCCTGTGGTCCGAAAATGAGCACTTTTCCGATACTTCCCAATTTCCAATCTCAGAGGAGTCCATGATGTCTATAACTTTACCCCTCGCGCTGTTTACAAAAGTAGCTTACTGGTTTAGACCTTGAAAAAATATTCATTGAAAAATCCATGCTTTCTTTAAGCCTTTTTTATAAAAGCCACTCCATTTTTAGGTTATGAAAAATTCACTCGTCTTATAGACTTTGAAAAAATATATTTCAGGCCCTGAAAAAAAAAATAAAGCCACGACTTATTTAGCCCTTGAAAAAAATTCCTTGCAAAATCCACGCCTCTTATAACCACTGAAAAAAAATTTGAACCTATATTGGTAAGTTTCTACCAGAAGATATTTTATTCTTTGTCACCAAAGTAACAAATTAGAGACACTTGAGATAGAAAATGCGGCTAGAATATGCCTAATATTGAATGGTAGTTTAACCTCTGAAACTGCTCCTAGGATGTATCAAAATAACTACAATTTTCGGCGTGGAATTATTTCGGAAGTCCTTTCTTATGCCGATATTACTCCGTCGAGGTTTGACATATGCATTGCGGATTTAAATTGTATGTTCTGAATGTTGAATCCGAATTTAAGACAATTTCTCTAATTTAGCCCAAAGCCACAATATTGGGATATGAATGGTTCTTTTTAATTCACCTCAAAATCATTAACCTTCCTTAATTTTGCCTTTTATGCTATTGGGTAGGTACAATATATGCGTATTTTTATCTGATGGTATACCATTAAATATACTTTTTTTCATTATATCTCTATATCACTTCTTTTTCCCTTCTTTACTATTTATCTTGCACCTTTTTCATTTTCCTAAACAAAACTTTATATTACACCCAAAACTATACCGAAATTCCTTTAAAAAAAAACCCGTCTTACCAACAACAAACCAAACCAAAAAACCTAGGTATTTATATAGCGCCACAACGTTCAGGCGATGATGGCATTACAAATCTAATGGATATACGTTCGGCATTAAATGAAGCCACAGCTACGAGCAGTGGTGGTAATAACACAACCGGTGGTGGTAATCATCACCAACATCATCACCATCATAGTTTCTTTCATCATCATGGCAGTATAAGTATACATTTGAATAGCGGTAGCAATAGCTCTGCTACAAATCAACAAAATACAAATAATAATTCGGCGGCGAATTCGAATCAACATCATCAGCAACAGCAACAACATTCGTCGACACAATCACATTTACACAATTTCATAAGTGGTCCAGCTAGTTCGGCTCTAAATGCTTTAATGGGTCATCATTATCATAATCATGGTACAGCTGCTGCTGCTGCTATGAATAACAACAACAATAATAACAGCAACAACAACAGCAGCAGTAACAATAATGTACAACCATCTGCCCTGACCTTGAGTACGGCATTGGCCGCTAATGTTGCCCAAACTAATTCATCTATACCACCGGCTAGTGGTAGTCAATCGGCTGGAGTATTGGGCTCGATATCATTTGGTTTACCCTCGGCCAGTAGTGGTCATGATCAACAGCAACAACAACATCAACAGCAGTATCATTATCATCAGCAACACAATTTGCCACATTCACCAACACCACCGCTACAAAGGCGTTTGGCAAAAAGTTTTAGTGTTGCTCCCAATTTGACACAACAAAAGGGTGCGCTAACTAACTAAATCTAAACCTATTTTTATTGGCCAAATACAATTTGTTTTAATACACAATTTTTTCAACACTACTACTATTACAATTATTTTTAAATGTTCATAATTCACATATTGTGTTTTCTTCCTGTCTCGCATTGCATTTTTTTCGTTATATTTTTTTTCTCATTTTGTTAATAATAATTTTATGTGTTCTACACCTGTTATGCTTTAAAATAGAATCATTTTTTATGTACTCTACACCACTAGATGGTACAAGAAATTAAATATAGAATGACCTACAATAAGACGTCATATCTGCCAAACAATTGACATCTTGTCATATAAGACGCCTTTAGTTCTCATCATTACTTTACATGGCTCTAGGCCGTGCAATTATTGGCTTTGTTTTGAGGTTTTGGATCCGCGTTCCTCTAGCCATTCACTAACTCCTTAATCGTAGTAAATCTGATGAATTTTATCGACTGTACCCACATTGAACAAGCTTGCCATCTTGTTCATTCTCATGAGAATTGTATATCCTGCAACCAGCAAAGACTAATGAATTTTGAAGTTGTTGCAGTTTGGCACTTTGTGCTCTTATTGTGTACTAAATCTCCACACTAAAATGTATCAATATCGGCCATCTTTTTCGGGTAGCCTCCATATAACGGTACTTCAAACTTTGTTGTTGTTGTAGAAGTTTATATGGATATAGTTTTCCTGTTTAAATTTGACGAGCTCCGAGGACGGCATTCAATCTGTATGCGTTCAGCGCTGCAGCTACTGCATCAGTATGAATGCTATTCAGACCTGCTCCATATGTAACTTGATCTAGATGCTTCCTTTTATAACGTTTAACCTCTCTCTCTCTAGATCATGCAGATCCTTCCTGACACACATGGGTGGTGGATCTTGTGCCTGAAGTATCCGAGCAGGTACTGCAACGAAAGCATATTGCTATGCTGACGTAGATGAAGGCCAACTCATGAAGATGGTCCACTGGTGTCGTGAGGGGGCAATCTGTCGCAGTTTCAGCCGGCGTTCTGACAGGTCTGAATAATTTTCCATTGCGTATCACTAATGTTCACAGACGAGTATGTTTATACTGTCGAATGTGACCCCGAGTATTTTGGGGTAGTT